GCTGCACACCACCCCCACAGAGGACAGACAACAAAGTGCTGTAGACCTGCCTGTCAGGCAGAAGTAAAGAGTAGGGAGAGGCAGTGGCAGGACAGGTGAGAGCAAGAAAAGAGCACCTCCAAAGCCTGTGAGTGGGGCTGACATTGTGAGGCCAACATGAGGGGGAAGTTGTGGGTTGAACAATGATGACCATGGTGGTCTCAACTGGCAAATGTACCAAAGCGTGAAGTTGTCTTGACTATGTGGGGTCTCACAAAGGACCCTAACATGGAGCCTGTGTCACCCTTTGTATAAATCATGACAATCTAAAATGCTTTCAAAGGATCGTGAAAGTTCACCTCATTGACTTCATCATGGTAAAATCATTTCTCTTCCTGGCTCAGGTATTTTTTATACTAACTAGACTTTTATTCTATATAGAAAAAAAAGGACAAACAGCATGGGGGGTTTACTGAATTTAGGGTTTCTATCTGTACCCCCAAAAGCAAGTTTTGTCACCCATCCTCAAGAAGCCAATGGAAAAAGCCAAATTAATAGTACAAAGAACTAAGAGAACAATGAAAGTGCCCTCACATTGGAAAGATCCTTTTCACGGCCACCGTCTGGGGCCTGAATTGAGATCAAGCTTAAGGTCAAGGTGTGGTCTCACCCAAGAGTGACTCATCACTGTCTGGACTTCAGTCTCAGCCTGCAAACTGGTCTGACAAATTGTTAGAACTGTTCAAAAGCTCACTCCAAAGACACGTTACCCCTATCACCGGCGCTTTCCCCTTCTCCCAGCACAGATTCCTGGGAGAAGTTCCCATTTATTTGGGGTTCATTTTTTTTCAATAGTTTGATAGTGAGATTGAGATACACAGATGTTTTCATTTCTGCCAGATAGTTTGTAAGAGGAAGCAAAAAGGGGAGGAGGGATTGGGGGAGAGAGGCTAAGGAATGTGACCCAGTTGGGAGAATGCCCGTCTACCACACAAAAGGCACCGTGTTTCATCCCATAACTCCTAAATTAGATGTGCAGTGTTGGGACACAGCTTCCTGAGTCCAGCCATCTCGGGAACAAGTTCCACCTTGCTGGCAGGGCCAAAACTGAGTTCATATTCCCAGGCCCCGAAACTCAACTCCTCTCCTGCTTCTTCAGGTATTTCATATTTGTCTGTTAACCAGTAAAGATGGAAATTGCCTTATCTGTTATCTAAACTAAGGTACGCAGGTTGTAAATGTGCTGCCTGTCTTGACTTAAAGCTTGCCACTCCTTTGTTCCCTTATCATCCTAAAACTCTGGATCAATATCCAAAAGAGGACTTGACTGCAAAGAGCTGAGTCGAGGGTCCTGAAACCAGGTGACCTGGAAAGACCCCTTACCCACGTTTACTTTCTTGCTCAATCTCTCATATCAGAATATAATTGGTCAATACCATAGCCCATCCTGCTCCCCCTTGCTTTGTGTTCCCATTCTTCAAAAATGTTGTACAATCTCCCTTAGGGGACATGTTCAGATTCCAAACTGGCTTCCTCCCTACTCATGCAGAAAATAAAGCTTTCATTTTTAAGTTTCCATCTCTGAAGTGAGCTTTCTTGGCTTCTACCTTGAGCCCAATAGCAGAACCTGTGATCTGAGAAGGTGGCAGAGGACCAGGATTCAAGATCATTCTCTGCTCTGTAGTGATTTCAAAACCAGCCTGAACTGATAAAAAGACAAAAAGAAGAGGTAGATTCTCAGAACAGACGGTTATTGTGATGACTACAATTAAATGTTTAGCAATCTAATCACTTGGACACAGGCCTTTGGGTATGTCAGTGCGTGTTATCTTTATTGTCGTCATGGAGATGGAAGACCTGTCCACACTGGATGGTCCTATTTCTTCCCTGGCTGGGATCCTGAACAATGTAAACAGAAAAGGAGCAGAGCAGGAGCAAGATTCTGGCGCCAGGTGCCTCATGTTCTTTTTGCTGTGACTCCCTTTCCATTGCAAAAGCCTGTGTCCTACTTTTAATTAAAAGTGATGAACTATTGTTTGTGTGACTCCTGAGGAAGTCAGATGCTACAGCAGGGATCAGGACTTCCCCCAGAAACCCCACGTGTTAGAAGCTTGACACTGTGCAGTGCTCTTGGGAAGGTAGTAAGAGGTGGGTCTGGTGGGGTCTGAGGTCACTGGGATCATGCCTCTAAGGGATCATGGGGCTTTGGTGTCTTCTGCTGTCATCCTTTTGCTTCCTGGCTCCTAGGAGGGGAGCGGCTTTGTTATAGTTCACACAGACCCCAAAGCAACAGAACCAATGTGTGATGGGTTGAAAAATTATGAAACCGTGAAGCAAAACAAAACATTCCTCTCCCTGCTGCCCCCAACCCTGCAGTGGTGTGTGTGTGTGTGTGTGTGTGTGTGTGTGTGTGTGCTCGATGTTTGCCTATGCTGATGCATGTGCAAACACACATAGAGGCCAGAGGTCAGTCTCAGTTATCTTCCTCAGCCACTATTTCTTAGGCTGGTCCAAGATGGAGGACCCACATTGGAAGCAGCCCCCTTGGGGAAATGGAAGGTGAATGTTCTGCTCCTCTCAGAAGTTCTGACCCTTCTCTCTGTGGGGCATCTGGACCACAACCTCCTGCCATCTTAACCAGCAAAGTCCCCCTATAATGAGAGTCCCTGCCCACAGTTGTTTCTGCTTGCAGACTTTCTTCTCCAGCACTCTCCTGCCCAACTGAAATCACCTCATAAAACTTCAAACATCCTTTTGTTGGGGGCTGCTGTCTCTCAATTTAGAGGCAGGCTGGCAGTAAGTGCCTGTGGTGGTTTGAATAGGTATGGCCCCCAGAGATGCACGTGTTTGAGTGTGTGGCCATGGCACTATCAGGCCTTGTTAGAGGAAGGGTATCACTGTGGAGGCAGAGCCTTGAGGTCTCGTATGTGCTCAAGCCTCACCCAGTGTGGAACACAGTCTCCTCCTTGCTGGTTGTGGATCAAGACGTGGATCTCAGCTCCTTCTCCAGCATCGTGTCTACCTGGAAGCTGCCTTTCTTTCCACCATGAAGACAGTGAAACAAACCTCTGAAACTGTAAGGCAGCCCCAACTAAATGTTTCCCTATATAAAAATTGCCTTGTTTGTGGTGTCTGTTCATAGCAATAGAAACAGTGAGACAGTGCCTAAACTGAAGCTCCACCTTTCAGCTTCAGCACGGCTCTGTGGGTATTCTTTCCTTAAGCACCACACAAGTGCCCTGGATTGGATGGAGTGTATTCATGGTTGTCCCCAGGTTACTGTTACTCCCCAACTTTCCGTCCGATTTGACCACCAACTGCCCTGTCCCCCCTGAGCACCATGGACCTTCGGTTGGTGGCATCAGCCCCTTTCCCAAACCTCTCACAGGATGCTTTGATGAGTCTTCTGGGCCTGGTGGCTGAAGACTGATAGTGCTCTAGGATTTGGCCCCCACAATGCTCCTCCCCCCAATGGAGGAGCCTAAGGTAACAGGCCAGAAGGCAGGTAAGCCTGCTTCATCTGTTTTAGATACAGAGCCCTGTGGACTTTGATAAAACCTGTCCCTCACAGGTCTCGGAGTGCGTGTTGACAGCCAACCCTGTGTTCCCAGATCACAGCTCATTTACCAGGTGTGATTAACGTTCTCCTCACTCACCCTCTTCTTGTGCTAGCCCTGTCCTACTCCCCTATCAGGCTGAGATCTCATGCAAAAACTGTCACTGCCCACAGTCAGACACCCTGTCCTCTCTCGGGTTCAGCCAGCATCACAACCAACACGTCCACCTTCCACTCACTCGATAACCCCACAGGGCGGGACACCTCTACGCCCGCTCTTACCCCCCTTCCTATATCTAAAGGATCCCTCAGTGCTTCATCACCCCTCACAACACCCCATCTTCCCTAAACATCGACCAGGACTAAGTCCTATTATCACCTTTTATGCAGGCCTCTGCATCCTGAGTCCTCCTTATGGTACCCCGATCTTTCCAGCAGTCAATGGCTCCTGTCCTCTGGCCAGGACCCTTTCCTTGTCAGTGCTGCAGTTCTCCTGATCCAGAACCCTTGTTCTGGCATGGCCTGGTGCTTTGTATTCACATGTTAATTGCTTGCTCCCTGATATTCCTACTGTTAGGAGCAGTCCCTCACACACACCAAAAAGATACCGTGTAACCCTGCCTCCAGCGTTATCGCTAAATAACGTTATTGCTAAATAAAGCTGCCTACACACTGGGCAAGGCAGAAGTTAGGTAAGCATGGCCAAGGTTCATGCACATGGAGAAAGTTGAGGATTATGGTAAGAGCAGAAGAGAGGAAGGAATCAGGACCACCATGGGTCAGCGCAGAGAGAATGGCACGGCCAGATGGACCGTGCTGGACAGAAGCAGCCCAGATGAAAAGTGTAAGGAAGTATCTCTGGGGTTACAGATGGAACGGTTGAGGCAGATGTCATCGGATGTGTGGTTGAGGGGTGACGGGGTAGGCGAGGCGGTTAATATCTGCCCCGCCCCAGGTAGTAAGGCTTATCTAAATCTGTCAGGTGTCTGGTCTTTTATTGTTTGCTAGTGGGTTAAAATAAAGCCACCATAATAATTATAGGCTTTTAATAATAAAATCAATGCCCTCTTTGTTTTCAACAACACACCCTGTCATCTCTAACACATACACAATTCTGTCACCCGACCCTGCCACTCTCGGGGCCACTCTGCTCTTACCTGGCACTCACACTTTCTCACAGCCCACCTTCTCTCTCCTCCCATGGATGTGGGAGCGAGCCCCCATTTTTTTTTTTTTTTGGCCAAGCTCTGGTGACTGACTTCCTAACCTTAAACCTCTCACCTAGCACCCTCCGACAATGTGTAGATGACCCCTCCCCCAACATGCCGATTCTTTCTTAAGCTCTCTGGGCTCTATAGTCTATAGGTGCCCTCTTCAAAGGCTCCATGTTCTCTAAATTAGGATGCTTTCCTTGACTTTGTCTTAGTGCCCACTGCTTGTCAGCTCTAGATTAAAAAAAAAATACCCTGTTTCTAGAGGCATTGCAGGTGTGGCTGCTGTGTTATGTGTGTGTAGTGGCAGGGAAAAGAAGAGGCTGTGTCTAAGCCTCCTCTTCTTACCTGAACTCATTTGAATGTTTAGCAACCTAATATTCCCTTTTAGAAGAGCGAGCAAGCCTGTGACCAACACCAGTCTGGTGCCATAAGGCCTGGACAGGAGCTAGTCTGAGATGGCCACCAGCCTGGTGCACAGACCGTGCTCGAGATGGCCCCTGTCCCACCTCATAATGCACTAGTGAGATGACCCCAGACCCCTCCTGAGTCCAACCCAGACACTCAGAAACCCGGGGTTCCACTAAGAGGAGCAAGTGAGTGGTGGAGAAATGCAAGAGAAAGAAACAAGGATGTGGGCACAAGCACGAATAGGCAGATCTGGAGACTCGAGGGCAGTGAGGAACCTGATGTGAGTACAGGGTGATACCATCTGGGACCATGGTGGGGTCCTGTGTGTGCTGCCACCAGGGGCCACCTCTGGTTCTGTGGCCCTGCAGCAGCAGCCCTGTTACCATCAAAGGCCAGGCGGACCTTCCTGGTCTGGTCTGGTCCTGGATGTGAGGGTTGTGGGTAGGCCCCCCTGAGGGCGTGAGAGTGGGAGAGGTGATGACGGGCTGACCAGCTCGGATATCTGCCAGGCTCAGATCCAGGGCTTTGAGTTGGCCCACCCCAACACCCATCCCATCTATGAACTGCTGGAGTGCTTGAAGGGGCTGGTTCTACAGATGCAAAACTATAGGATCTCCATGATACAGGGCAACAACAGGATATCCAAGAGGAGTTCCAGTATTGAGAGACTGGCAAAGACAGAGGACCCTTCCTAGACCGAGGAGTCATTGCCATCAACGTTTGTGAGCAAAGAAGTGTGGGCAAAAGGTTATGTACTGTGGGATTCACTGTCACACTCTACAGCTTCCACAATGAGATTTTTTTTTCTCTGTGGGGAAGGAGGTTGCAATGGTGGAGGGTGGGTATTAGGGGAGAGGGAGATGAGTGGATTGGGGTGCATGATGTGAAATTCATGAAGAACCAATAAAAAGTTCAAAAAGATTTTGCCTGTAACGGTTGCTTTCAACAAAAGACTTGTTTTTTATTGTAGCAGTTCCTTTTCTCTTAGTGCTCCCCACCCCTCTCTCACCCAACTAAATCACCCGGTAAAACTCAAACTTCCGTCTGGCGGGGCTGCTCTCCCTTTACTTGGAGCCAGCCTGACATTTCAGTCCTAAAACAAAGCCCTGTCTTTCAACCTCAGGACAGCTCTGGTGGCCTCGTTATCTCCGCAAGCTGCACTACTCACCTTGCTTTTTGAGTCAGGGTCTCTCACTGCAGAGAGAGCCCATCATTGGGCTAGGCTGGCTGCTCGTGAATCCCGGGGACCCTTGTGTCTTTGCCTCTGCAGAGCTGAGCTTTCAAATATACACCAGCGTGCCTTGAATTTTTCCGTGGGTCCTGAGAACTGACCTCAGCTACTCATGCCTTCTCTTTTTCCAGGCCCCTGGTTTCCCTCTTCCGTGGGTGAGTTACCTCTGGTATTTTGACAGCACTGTAAAGCGGATAAATGTGCTAGGCACCATCTGTCCGGTTCAGGCCATGGCTCCACTCTCAGTAAGCAAAGGTCTGTTAGCAGACGAGTCCTCTGGCCTGACCGCAGGGACCTGGCAACTACATTGTCCTCTGCCGCCACCTCCAGGTACAATAGGTGCGTGCAGCCCGACAAAAGGATCACCCGCCACGCCCACCCGCCACGCCCAGCTCGTCTGCCGTCTGTTCCAGCTGTCTCTGTTCTAGGCACCCCTTTCTCTCCCCCTCTGCCCCCAACCCCATAATCATGGCTTGCTCTCTGCTTCTACTCTTCTCCGGGTCCTCACTCCTCTCTCTTTCCCCAATAAGATACCAGATCTGTTTCGTGGCGTAATTCCTCAGAGCACTTGTGGGCCCACCAAGGTACACCCTTGATGCATCGTTACATTTCATGACATTGCTTCTGTGACCTCGGGGTCTCTCCTGGTGTCTACACACACTAGGAGTCCTTCTGCTGCTATACCTGCCACAACAGGTTTGCTTCCTTGTACACTGATCGCCAGACACTCACTCCACCCCACACCAGCACATATATATAATACACACACACACACACACACACACACACACACACACACACACACACA